TGGAGAGCTATTTCAAAAGCATGGCACTTTTTAGAAGGAATTTTAAAGAGTCATTTAAGTGTATTTATGACTGCCATGGACCTAATTGTGCCTTGCCCTCAATCTACAGGATGGCAACCTTACTCCAATGTGACTAGATTTGGAGATAAGGCCTTTAGGAAATAAAGAAATCATAGGGTATGGACTGAGGATGTAGCTCAATAGTAGAGTACTTGCCAAGCATGTGTGAGGTGCTGGGTTCAATTCTCAGCACCACATTTAAATACATAAAATAAGTGTTCATCAACAATTAGAAAAAAAATATTAAAAAAAGAAGTTATAGGGTAGGTAGGTAGGTAGTCCTACCTAATCTGGTAGGATTAATGAATGACTTTATAGGAAGCACAAGGCAAAGATCCTATCCATCACTGTCTCTCCATACACCAATTAAAGGCCATGAATGGACTTAGAACGAAGGTGGAAGAGAGCTCTTACCAAAATCAAATAAGTCAGCACCTTGCTCTGGAACTTCCCAACTTCCAGAGCTGTCTGTGTTTAAGCTACCCAATATATAGTTTTCTGTTAAAGCTGCCCAAGGTGACTGTAAAAGTGACTTTCTTTTATTTGGACTTCAGAACCCAACCCTGAAGTCAGATGTGGTTCATGTGGCTGAGATGCAAACCTTTGCCCAGCATTTTCTCCTAGCTGTGTGCTGCTGCAGAAGAGGGAAGGGAGTAACTAGAGGTGTCCGCAGTGCCTCCTCCCCTGTCCCTTCCCATGCTTCTTTTTGAAAAGGTTCTGTCTGGCTGACATCAATTACAATTGCTCCCTCAGCAACATCATATGTAGAGATGGTGATCATCATCAAACCTTGAATCAGTGTAATATTCTGAAAACACCATAGTATTTGGGGTCAGACAAGTCTATATGACAAACTCATGTACCCTACTAGTGACTATGTGACCTAAATAATCTTTTGGGGTCTCAATTTTTCATGTGTTAAATAGGAAAAATAATATCTACTATTTATTTCACAGATTGTTGTGAAAATTCAGTGAAGGAATATATGTAGGAAATTCAATAAAGTGCTTGGCATGTAGCATGTACCATAAGCATAATATCACATGACATTGAACACTGGCTATGTACTAGCTTTGGGCTTGCTGGGGATAGAGAAAGGTGTAAGTAAGCTAAAGACCTACTGGAAGCAGGAACTTGCATATAAAAAGGGAACTGACTGTAGATCAAGCTGAATGTAACAACCAACATGTCTCCAGAGCTACTCAGGTTCCTGCTCATGGTGGAGAAAGGGGCTTGTGTCCAAATGTAGACTAAGGAACTCTTTCCTTTAGCTTGCTTGCTTTCTTTTCTCCTCCTCCTCCTCCTCCTCCTCCTCCTCCTCCTCCTCCTCCTCCTCCTCCTCCTCCTC